TGTGGGGCTGAGACCCTGTCGATTCCTAAGTTACTCCTCCCCATGAGGGTCCCAGAAACATTCTGTCTCTTTAATCTCATTTCAAGCCCCGTGTTCAATGGGCATTTTGATGTCATCCTTTCCTCATATTTATTACTGACCAAACGGCTCTCCCTCGATGGGGAATCTTCTTTTCCTAATTCCACTCTAAAACCTAACTCCGTAGGAGATTTTGTTCCCACGAAGACCTTTCTCTCTCCTAAATCGTCCTTTCCTCCGTGGGTTAAACCGACCTCAAGGTTTAGGGCAGATTTCCCCGCAGATACCCTCGTTCCTCCAACGGCACCCATCTCTAAGGGGAACCCTGGTTCGAGGGAAGTTCCCAATTCCTTCGGGGGCCCCAATCCTTTGGGGGACTCCACTCGCACGAAAGAGCACATCTTCGCTCCCCCACGGCTTCCTGCCTACCACTTAACACCTAGGGAGTTCTCAGAGCCAAAGGAGGTGGAGGTCTGTTTACCCGTTACCTGGGAAACAGGGGCGTGGCTTGGCGGGCAATTCTTCCTCAGGCCAATCCTCGCCAGTCTTTCTCCCTATTTCTCTGTCTTGGTTTTTCTCCCTCTCCGTCTCTCTCTCTCTCTCCCTTCCTTCCTCTCTTATTCTTCCCGTCACCCTCTCTGATATTACATTTGGAAGGCAAGGAAACTTAAAGGATGTGGTCTTGGACACTGTATCAAATGCTCACCAATTCTCTTTGGTTTCCCAAGCAAAACAGTCCTTCGGGATGGGATGCGCTGCGGGCTTTCTAGTCAATGGGCCATTCATTTTACTGGTGATCAGGGAATAAATAACAGTTTGTGGTGGTGATCACTAATTTTAGGTTCTTCCATGCACAAGTACATTCAGACTGCATTTAGTTCTTTTAGCGCTAAAGAACTACTTTAAATTATTATATTAGATTATTTAATTTAAGTTATATTGGCCATCTGTGGTATAGAAATATCTTGAAGTCTTTGAGAACACTCACACTTTGATAACTAGGCTTTAAATGACATTTAAAGTTACTACATTAAAGTTTGAGATGTGTTATACAATATGCATATTTAATTTTTTAAATATCGGGGTAAACTTTGTTTTCAAGTATGGTATTTCCTTTAAATTGGGTTTACCCTCTGTTGGGTTTTAATCAAAGTTTCAATATTTGGTGAATGTTTGTCGTGTTCTCTCTATATAGGGGACATAGAACATCTAGCTTAGAATTTGAATGCAATTCATAGGATTCTAGTCTTTTTAAGAAATCTATGAAAAATGTGTGAAGTCAAAACAAAATTTAAAAAGTAATTAAGGGATACTATCTAACATTTGTAAAAACTGTTTACCATAATTTTCGAGATAGTCAATATATTCCTCTCCCCCTAAACACTTTAAATGGCTTGATAATGCATAAATCAGGGAATGTTGGTATGAAGTGTTCATTCAATTCCTTTGGTTTACAAATATCTATTGAGTCTCTACTTTGTGTCAGTGTTGGGAATACAATAGAATATAAGCCAATCCCTACTTACAGAATTTATATTTTAGTGAGGACATCAAATAAATCAATACATAAGATCATATCACATACTGATAACTTGTGAAGAAAACAGAAAGCTTTGATATGGAGGAAAGATACTTTATTTTTTATTTTCTTATTCATTTTGAGGGAAGATACTTTAGAATTAATAGGCTTAGAAGTCAACTGATGTCATTTGGGCAATTAGTAGGTGACATTTGAGCTTGCATTATGCCCTGCGAAGACACAAGTTCCCATAGCCTTTTTCTCTCTGCCTTGCCACCACCCACAATTCCTTGTTATAGTGTCTCCAGGCAGTCCAAGTTAAAAGTAAATGTTACCATTCATTACCACCTACGCAAATGTTTATTTTTCAAATACACAATGGAGGAAATACTCTGGAAGAGAAGGCAGAACATACAGGGTACTGTGGATGATTGAGAGAGGTGCTAGAAATTTGTGAGTGTTTAGAGATTTGAGGGCAAAGGGAGCACTAAGGACAGTGTTCACGTCTTTATGAGTTTATTTAGAGCCCATCCATTTTGTAGTTCCTTAACAAATTCTATCAGCTAGTAGGATCCCACATTTGCCACTAAAATATATACAATTATAAGTCCTCCTCAATTATCTGGGGGTTAGGATTTTTTAAAAAAGCATAGTGTGAATGGCATTATAAAGGCAAAACTTTGCCCTAACCACTGTGGCTCAGTCGGTTGTACTATTGTCCCACACACCAAAAGGTTGGAGGTCTGATTTCTGGCCAGGGCACACACCTAGGTTGTAGGCTCAGTCCCTGGTTAGAGCATGTATGGGCAGCAACCAGCTGATGTTTCTCTCTCCATCGATGTTTCTATCTCTCTCTCTTCCTTCCTCTCTCTCAAATCAATAAACACTAAAAAAAAAAAGGCTTTACTCTGGCATTTCTCTCCAAAATTACCACTGGATCTCAGAAGTGCTGGCCACTGGAGCAATACTCTCCCATGCAAAATTTTTTTTGAATTAGATAGATAGATAGATAGATAGATAGATAGATAGATAGATAGATATGACTAAATTATAAAATATTGTGGAATATATTAGAGGAGATGAAGTAAAAGGCAAAATTGGTAGAAGGAAATGAAGAAGCGATAGCCTAGAATGAAATTAATGAAACAGGAGTTCCTAGCAATTTATATCAGCATTCATGTGTTCTTTGTGAGGCCTTCTCAAGTCAAATATTCACCATTTGAAATGTAATACCAAGTTCACAAATATTTTTGTATCTCCCTCTTTTTCCTAAGCTCCAAGGGCTCCTCCATCATCTTTGTAACTTTCTAAATAAACATTCACTTATAATTGTTTTTCTTTTTATTGAGTTTAGAAAGAAATAGACATCAATTTGTTGTTCAACTTATTTATGCATTCATTGGTTGTTTCTTGTATGTGCCCTGACCAGGGATTGAACCCACAACCTTGGCTCATTGGGATGATGCTCTATCCAACTGAGTTACTTGGCCAGAGTCACTTCCCCTTCTAACCTGACCCCCCAAAAAAAGTCCTCTGGAAGGAATTAAAATGATGAGTAAATTATGGTCTTGGCCCTTAAGAACTCTGAAATCCTAATGGGGATGAAAGACTGGGGAAAGTCTTTATTCCCTAGACTCTAGGCACTCCTAACTATAAAATAAAGCAAATGTTAGAATCTTTATAAAACAAAATATCGTGAAACTACAAAACAAAAAAGATTAACAAAATCCTGGAGAAGTATCCTCTGCTGCTGTCCAGGGAGTTGGCATCCTGGCCAAAGTAAGGCCTACGGTGATGGATAGTAATGGTGCTCCAGGTGGAGAGAACGAAGTGATCAAAAGATGCAACATTCTGGGAACACAGAGTAGACTGGTATGATTGGGGGACAAAATATGTATTTGAGAAGGGGTAGGCTATAGAAATAGAATGAAAGAAAAGCAGGTTAAATCTAGAGCTGAAGATTTTTTGGCTCTATGTAGCAAGTAATGAGACACCATTGACCATTTTTCAAGTGTGACTGGTTGAAATGTAAGGAATGAACTGAAGAGGCAAGAGTGTATGTACATTAATTCCAGTTTATTTAAATGCTATCATAGCCCAAGCACAGGGATTAAATCTCACTTTGGGGATTAAAGAGGTTTTGGTGCTAGAAAAAACAATGGGTCATAAGAAAAAGAAGGTAGAGTTGAAGATGATTCTACCTTTCCCGGTCCGGGTGACTGGGAGGCTATAAGGACGTTACCAAGCAGAAGCAAGTTTGTGGTGGTATAGGTTCGATTTTGGTCATTCTGTTGACAGGCCAAAACTGATGTGACATAACCTATTCCTGATTCTTCCTGGGATTGTGTAAGAGGTATTACCATGACTAACATATCATATTCGAACAACACCTTGGGGATAAAGTGCCACAGATACTATTTACCTATGACACATTATACTCTCCTGGTTAGTAACCGGGGAGTGATTTGAAAGACTGGCTGTTCAAGGGCTCAAACCATCTTCATTGCCCAATGTTGACTGAGCACCCACGGAATACCTTATCCCAAGTACACATCCAAGGCAGTCACTGTTGATGTCCTCACAACAGAGTTATAATGGTAAACTGCATACTGAAAAGTAGCCATTATCCTCAGTGAAAAATCAATTAAAGTCTGCCAAATTACAAAACAACTTTTTGTTTTGTTTGGCTTTGCTCCAGATGCCTGGACAGATAGATATTGGCCATTGTGAGATTTAACCAAAGGAACCTGTCTTACCAAGGTCTGCAGTGGAGGGTAACGTTTCCGGTTGTTTTTCACTAACTAGAACTGTGCTTCAGAACTCAGGTTCTTTGGCCAGCCTGCATGTTAAGAATTTCATCACCAACTCAATGTTGATTTCGGACAAATTACACAATCTCTGTGCTTCAAATTCTTTAGCTGTAAAACAGGTTCGCCTCATCCATTCATTCCACAACCGTGACTGAAGACTGCTGTCTAGACTGAGAAAAGTACCACTTAACTGCCTTTACCGGCCCACCCAACCCCTGGGATATATTCAGGGGTTCTCTCCTGCTAGACAGAGTCCGTAGACCGGTTGCCAGGGTTGGGGCGTTGCGGGGTAGGCTGAGAGGGAATGTGAGTCAATATTCACCGCCCCACATAGGATGGAGCAACAAAACCCGAGTCCTCACCCGCTCTCCCGAAAGAACCGAAGCAATGGCATTTACCATCCCTGGCAGCCCCAGACCGCCGCCCAGATAACAATGGCGCCAGCGAGGGCGGGGCGCGCGCGCGCCGCTGGGGGTAGGAAGGTGGTGGTATTGCGGAGACCACGTGACACACCTAGCCCCGCCCCTCGACCAGCTCCCGGTTGGGCTGGCTTTGAGAGGCGCTGAAGAGCCGGGGAAACGCTGGGACCGGCGGCGGCAGGAAGTGACGAACAGGCGCAATTCGCTACGTGCCGCGACGTGGCGGCGAGGCCGGCTCCCGGCGGCGGAAGTGGCTCCCTCGCAGGGACAGGAGTGTTTGTGTTTTGGTTCGCGAAGGATCCCGGGGCTGGCCTGAGGGGAGGAGGCAGTGGAGGAGGCGGAGGAAGAATTAGTGGGAGCTCTAGCGCCGGCGGCGGCGGCGGCAGAGGAGGAGAAAGAAAAAAGGAAGGCGGAGCGGAGAGAGGCGGAGACCCAGCCCGACGGGGGCGGCACCACGGAACTAGCCCCACACCGTCCAGTCTGAGGGGAGCGGCGCGAGGAGGAGACGCCCCGCCGCCAAAGCTACAGCCTTTTCTCGGACTAGGCCTGGGACCTGCTGCCCGGAACCTTCAGCCCTGCGGCTCTGCGTGCTGCGGTCTAAGGTAATCAAACCACCCCTCCCCGTGCCCGGGACGAGCTGGGACCCCTGGTTATCCGCTGTCCCCAGGCTGTCGGTGGCCCTGCCAGCACTCAGTCCCCACCCCTTCTACCTCTGGCGCACCAGTGCCTTGGAGCAGAGAGTTGTTGACCCCGGCGAGACGAGCCTCCTGCCCGCCCCAGTGGCTCACCCTTCAAGAGGCTACGGGGGACTAGGATTTGGGGGCTGGGTAAGGGAGCGACGGGTGTCCCTCTCTTCCCTTCTCAAGATGGCGCCGTGAAAGCGTACGGGAGGCCGCGGTTTCGCCGGCCCCCTGCCTTGGCAGTCTTAGGGGGAGGTAGGTCCGGGCAGGCCCGATTCGAGGGAAAAGGGCCGGAAAGATGGCCCAGGGGCCTGGCCGGCCCGGCTTGTTCCGGCGGTCGGAGTTCGGTACCAGTCACTCAGGTAGTCTCCGGGAAGGAACCGGGGCCTACAGCAGGTGTGAGTTTGGGGAGCTCCGCCTACCCTCGACTTCCAGAGACCGGGTAATGGAGGGAGGAGAAGGCTCGTCTAGATAGGCTCTTTGGAGATTCTTGTCTCATCTAAGGAGGGTGGTCAGTCTCAGCCTTACAGAACTCGAGACAGCTAGGCCGCCGAACACGCTCACTGGGTAGAGACCATTAAACCTGCTCTGCTGTTCTGCTGGAAGCCGGTTACCTCCCAGACACTGACTTGAAGCTCTGAACGTCGTAATTCACATATTTGGTTTTTGTCTTTTGTTTAATGGAATCAAAATGTTGGATCAGTTGCCTTTCACAAAACTAGTAGGAAAAGAAACAGGCACAACGCTGTGATAATAAGGGACAGCTCCAAAACTTTAATATTATTGCCCCTATTACAGCTCAGAGTTGCTGTAAGCAAAAGACATAGAATAGTACTTGGCACAATATAAGGCCCAGTAAATATTAGCTGCTCTTATTAAAAGCTTTTATTAACTATAGAATAGCAGTTATTTTCAAGACATTAAAATGCATTTTATGCCAAATCTTTGTTTTACAAGAGTTTCAGTAGTTAATAAAAGTAAATGCACATAATATTTCACCTTAATGTTAAGCTAACTGTATATAAGTAAACTTAGTTATTTTCTGATTGAAAGCCTCTGGGGAACCACAACCCAATCGAAGGCAAAGCTAAATCATAATTTTTTAAAAATGGGAATGCGATGTTTTTCCTGATGTTTTGGAAGTACAATGCAGCATATTTTCCTTGATGAGTAATTTAATTTGCTGTTCTGTAAGGTAATTAGACAACTGTGAAGTATTTCAATTGCTATTGTATATAATAACTGAAGGAGTGTTGGTGCATTTTCAGTCTATATGATATCTTTTTTTAATTTGTATTTATTGATTTGAGAGAGAGAAACATCAATTTGTTTCACTTATTTATGCATTCATTGGTCGAGATTTTTTTTTTTAAGATTTTATTTAGTTTAGAAGGGAAGGGAGGGAGAAACATCGGTGTGTGCTTGTGTTTTGCACCCCCCAGGACCTGGCCTGCAACCCATGCATGCACCCCTACTGAGAATGGAACCTGTGACCCTTGGGTTCACAGGTCAGCACTCAATTCACTGAACCACAGGGTCCAGGGCTCATTCGATGGGATGATTCTTGTATGTGCCCTGACCAGGGCTGATACCCAAAACTTGTGAATCAGGACAATACTCTAACCTGCTGTGCTACCCGGCCAGGGCAACATGATAGACTGTTTGATACATGGCCATTACCTCATCAAAGGGCCTCTACCAGTTTTCCAGTCCCTACTCTGTGCCACTATATTGGAGATTTTTTTAACATTATAGTCTCTCATTTAATTGTCAAAACAGCTATGTAAGTTAGGTATTCCAAAATTAGAGACTTGGAAATGAAAGAACTTGCTCTGGCAGAAATTGGTATAGCTAGCCAGGTTAGATTCCAAATCTGGTACAAATTTAGGGTGGTGGAAGGGTCAGGGCAGAATTATTTCGGACAAAATTTTAAATTCACAGAAGTAAGGAGAATAGTACAAGAGAACCCATCACTTGCCTTTGGTACTCTTATGACCAGTCTTTCTTTGTTTACATCCCCATTATTTGGAAGCAGTTCAGACATATTTCATTGTGTGTTAATAATAAAGGACTTGCAAGCTACTGTTCAGATAAGGCAGAGATGGTTTTACTCATCTCATATGAAACACATCTCTCTCAGATGTGTTTATTAATGAATTCATTGTTGAGGCATTCTTATGTAAACTCATTTCATGGGGAAGGCAAATATCTTAGGAGGTACCTAAATGAAATATAACAGTGATTCCAGGGACAGAGCTATCAGACTTAATAGTATTAGTAAGGACCTGTCAGATTTTTTATTAAAGGTGGGAGAAAAGGAAACTTTAGGATTGATTTGTGACCAGATTGGAGCTCTTTAAATGTTTGTTAATTCCTTTAAGATTGAAAATTAGAATAATAAAAGGAGACAGAAGTTGCTATTCAGGCTAGTTTTTTCTAAATTACTAAGTAGAAAATAATGATGTTTAATTGTTAGGCTCCAAACTACAGGAAGTATAAATAAGATACTAATAAGCTCACCATATAGAGAACCACAGTTAACACTTCCATGTATGTGTACTTGAGCACGTGGAGAAACAGTTCTAAGTCTCTCAGCCATTGGACACACAAACCTGGGAGCCAAATATATTTGTTGATCAAGAAATGAAGAAGTACAGATTGGTGGTGGAAAATAGTCATAGGTATATAAGTACAACATAGGGGATATAGTCAGTAATATTGTAGTAACTGTGTACGCTAGAGTTAGGAGGAAGGGGTACACTTCATAAGTTATATACATGCCTAATCTCTATGCTGTATACCTGAAACTAAAATAATATTAAATTTCAATTATAGTTGAAAATTAAAATTTAAAAGAATTGTTGCTCCAAAATCACCATTAATTAAACAAAAAACATGTATAATTTAACAGAGACATTTATATAATAGCAACATTTATTGAGCTCTTACATTCTAAGAGCTTTTAATTTATTAAAACTTTTTTAACCAAGGTACTGTGGTTCCAGAACCTGAAACTCTTGAGTCACTTCTAAGGTTACCTGGGATTGAGACTTTGTTGCAGCCCTGTCATAGTAACTGTGTGACCTCAATCAAGTTACTTAACCTCTCTGTGCCTGTTTCCTCATTTTTTAGGGTATAATAGTCTAACTTTATAAGATTGTTGAGTGACTGACTATGTTAACTACCTGGCACAAAGTTGAAGGGGGTTTATGTTTTTTAAGATTTTATTTATTTGTTTTTAGGGAGAGGGGAAGGGAAGGAGAAAGAGGGAGAGAAACATCAGAGTATGGTTGCCTCTCATGCCCACAACCTAGGCGTGTACCCTGTCTAGGAATCAGCCAGCGATACTTTGGTTCACAGCCAGTGCTCAATCCACTGTACACCAGCCCGGGCTCGTAGTTTGAGTTTTTAGTAAAGTACAGCTTAAATTTTTTTTTTAGAGTTCTGAAACTTAGCAGCATGATTTTAGGCTCAAATCTTAACGCCTTTAACATTATTTTATAACAAAGGATTTAATGAATTAAACTAAATAGTACTCAATGCCCAGTAGAGGTTATAATTGTCATATAATAATATGTTATAAGCAAAATTTACTGAATTAATTAATGTATTTATTCTGTTTTACTGACTTGCATATTTAATTTCTGTTTGTTTCTTTATAGGTTTCTTTGCCTCTAGAAAGAAAAATTGACACCTTGCATCCTGGAAGTTCATTTCAGAGACTGAAATTAGGGACTTCTTTAAAAATTGGACATGGCTAATCGAGGAGCAACAAGACCCAACGGGCCAAATACTGGAAATAAAATATGCCAGTTCAAACTAGTACTTCTGGGAGAGTCTGCTGTTGGCAAATCAAGCCTAGTGCTTCGTTTTGTGAAAGGCCAATTTCATGAATTTCAAGAGAGTACCATTGGGGGTGAGATTTTCTTTTTTTCCCCTTCTTCATTTAATTGAATCATACATTGGCAGAAAAGATTTTGCAGTTCCAGGTATGATGATGAAAACCTAAATAGGTAACTCAGCGAAGAAAAGAACTGTTCAGCATACATCACGCTTTAAAACTTACCTTGATTCTTACTAACATCTTTCTACATTTTGATTTTCTGGTTATTCTTATGTGGTTGTATGAGAACTAAAATACAGATATAAGTATGAGTAGATTTAATGTCCTAAGTAATAAGATTTTATCTGCTATCTATTTTTGATAATTATTAGAAGCTTCTTCAAATTACTACAGGTGTGTGCTGAATTATACTGGCTTTAGAATAGTAAAAGAATTAACCTTAAAGTTTTAATTCTAAATATTGCTGGACTATTTGTAAAGATATATTAAATTTTATTAAACTTGTTTTAAAACGCTCCTAGGGTGACAGAAGAGAAAAAGAGTGATTATTGGTGAGAGACATGAAAGGAAGTGGGACCTGAAGAGAAAGGCGAAAAAGGCGGGGGCAGGGGAGTGGTATAGGTCCTGCATACAGTCGTCGTGGTATGAGCATGGTGCAGGGAAGGTAATATGTAGGACAAAGAGGAGGCAACGAACAGTTCAATATAGTTAGAAGAAAGGAAATTAGATAATTGTATTTAATCAAAGAAATCATAACTATTATATGTGAAGTGGTGGGGCAAAATCAGAGGAATCACACAGTGTTGAGATTCATAATAAAGTCAAATTTTTGAACTGTGTAAGATATATGCCCACTGGCATGTAGCAACTTCTTAGAATCCATCTTGCAGAAGCATGATTTTATGCTGTGCGTTTTGTGTATGTTCTCAGGAAAGTACTCTTGAGAATTTTATTCATAGTCTCAGACCCTCCCAGTACAATAAATTACAAAACTCTACTATATCCTGGCTTTTCCCTACCTACAGGAAATAGACTAGATAAATAGTATTCTCACTGTAATAGACTCAGCAGTATAATAGTATTTGTCAACTTATGTTTGTATGACTGTTACAGTGTTATATCATTTTAGTGTTACATGTTTTTATAATGGGTGAGCATCAAAAATGTAGTCCATATCATGGAGCTTTTAATTGGAATCAGAAAATCCTAGTACTTATTAAAAATTTAATGAGCAATATATTACACATTCTTTGTGAATACAGCTAACTAGCCCACATAATAGGAAGAGTTTTAAAGACTGTTATTTTAACTGTTTTTTTGGCAAGTGATTGTCAGTGGTACCATTTTCCAAAGTACATACGTATTCTAAGCTAAATACCTAGACCACATAGGTTTGGAACTTATGGTATGCTACCCTCCCCCACTTCCACAGTGCACATACTAAAATAATAAAAACACTGAAGTACTGTAGTAAAGAACTTAATTCCTGAAAAAGTTTGTTGGAGCCTGAAGAGCCTCAGAGTAGAAGTTTTGTTTTTATCTTGGATACTCCGAGCATCTTTTAAATGTATTTTTTTGTAATGACATCTCCAGAATGTTTAAAAGTAAGATTTAATCCTATATGAGTCCATCATAAGTACAGTTATTCTCTAGTGTATGTGTATGTGTTAGATTAGAATATACCAATTAGATTGTCTGCATTTTTGTTAATGAATTTTTCAAAAGGACTTTTTTTGTTTATTCCTGTGCATAAAGCTTCCTTAATATTTTCTACCCATACAGATCAAATCAGTCTTTCCAAATCAACTTAGGAAGAAATTACATTCAGATTTCTATGTTACTGACTAGACTATTGTACACTATTCCACTGTGTCGACCAGATGTTAATATTTTCAGGCGGTATGACAGTATCATTATAGCTGTGAACACTGTTCTTTTTGTTTTTGAGGGGGGTTTTTTGTTGGTTTTTTTTTTGAGATATTGACATTTGGCATTCTGTAAGTGTACGGTATTAAGACATGTTGTTTTGATATGTTTATATAGTGAGCACTGTTTCATGCTCTTTGCTAACAGCTCTTTAACTCTAGGGACTATAGTAGATTCTAAGCATTCAAAGATTTCAAGGTGTGAACTATTTAATAAACACCATGAAGGTCCTTAACTTATAAGTAATATATATTCTAGTTTTGGCTGATGTGTGGGAACAGTTATCTAGCATGTGAACCTGCCCATATATTTTGCATTTCTTGTGTTCTTTATTTTTTTACTTGTTTTTACCTAGTTACATTAGTTGTGACCTGAACTTAAAGTTTTTATCTCTGTATTTTAAGGTAGAAATCATATGCTGCACTCTTGTGTATTCTAGAACCTCATACTCATCAAGAATAGTGAAGTTTCTTCCTTGGTTTGTCTGGCTCTTCTAAATATGATAACTTGATTTAAAAATCCATGTTGACTCACCACAGCCCACACCCCTGCCCCTTGAGTCTATAGCACTCATAGTGAGATTAGCTAGGTAGGTATTGGGTTTAGCACTTTGGGGAAGTCTAGTTTGTAGAGGTTTAGAGTCTGCGTGACATATATGTTCCTTTTGGTTGTCTAAACAGAAGTTTAGCAAGGAGAATTAGGCGCAGAGGGTTTTTTCTTGCTGCCTCATCTGGAGGCTCAGTAGCCCTGCAGTAAACACTTTCTAGATGATAGGCCTGCCAGCTTTCACTTTATACTTTAATACCTGAAGATTTCAAAGATTTCTAATGAGTTCCTCTTGTTAAAAAAAAAAAACTAATTTTTTTTTTACAAATGCATTTGCATGACATTTATTTAAAAATGGATCTCAGATGAGGCAGAACAAGGTTAAAATATATAATGAAACAGCATACAGTCATCCAACTCTTTTTTTGCTTTTGAGAGATGGTTTGATACCATAATTTAATTGTATATGCATTAATCATCCAAAAAATGTTTTACATACTATAAAAGTTTAGGTTATGGAACTGTACATGAGAATATTGACAAACATTCCTTTTTCTGGTACTATAATTTTTGAGCTTTAGTTTAGTTCGTTTTCAAAAGAGTATTTGTTACCTGTTCCAGAACCATTTGCATTACCTGAGAACTTGTTAAAAATGCAAACTCTCATGTTGAACCAAAACACTGGGGTGAGGCCAGTAATTTGAAGTTTTAAAACACCTTCCAGGTGATTCTGCTGCATGTTAAAGTTTGAGAACCACTTCTTTCTGTGTTCTGAGTAGTCAGTATTACATTTATACTAAAGTTGTTCTCCCACAAATGGAGTCATTGCTTTTTTTTTTAACTGTTGTTGTAAGACTTAAAAAAAAAATACTGGTCATTCAGATACTTCAGTTTGAGAATTTTGTTCTGGTTTTACTGCATATTACCTGTATCTCTTTGCATGGAAACCCCTTTCTATGGATCTGGTGACTTGCTAGGTCTCTTTAATAAAGTATGGTCCCTTCTCTACCCCATCAAGGACTCTCATAGTGACTCTCCCTTGTCACTACCATAAAGGAGATTGAGTATCCGTAGTTTTCGGTCATTGGTACCCGTGCTACTCCCCATTGTTGCCACAAGTAATCAAGGACTGATTATGCACTAAATTAAAAGAAATATGTACCTCTTTAAAGTTACTTTCAGCAATTATTAGCTCTTAAGTAGAGTGCCTAAAGTATTATTTCAGGGTTTTTACTGGAAGAACAAAATTCATTATACTTCTACATTTAACATCCATCATTAGATACTCTGAGGAGCTACTAGGACTTGTTTTTCTGTTTATACACAAAAACACCTGATGGGAAAAATTTTTTAAATTAAGAGAAACAAGGTTGATTCCAAAGTTATTAATGCACTCTTAATCATTTTATTATTAGGACTTTCTCAAGAGTAAATTATTATAGTTAAAAAAGTAAAGGATCTTGCATCCTTATGGTTTGATTTTATTTTTTGTTTAAAAAATTTTTAAAGATTTTATTTACTTATTTTTTAGAGAGAGGAGAAGGGGAGGGAGAGAAATGTTAGTGTGAGAGAGAAGGTTGTGTCTTGCATGCCCCCAAAGGGGGAACCGGCCTGCAAGCCAGGTATGTGCTCTAACTAGGAATGATCTTTAGGTTCACAGGCTGGCACTCAATCAACTCAGCCACACCAGTCAGGGCCATGTGGTTTGATTTTAAATTCTAGCCCTAGTTCTTAACAGCAATCTTAGGCAAGTCATACCCAGCTTTGTATTTCTCTTTATGAAATGGAAATAATAGTACCGAACTTGAAAGATCTTTTTGCAAAGATTAAATGAAAGCGCATATAAATGTTAGTTAGCACTGTGCCCAAGCACAGAGTAAAATGCTTATTAATACTACTGTGACCACCATTATTTATTCCTGAATCATTGTTAATTACTGATGATGTTTTTGTTACATTGTTCATGACATGGCATTATTTTGGAATCATGGCTCTTCTCCCTTGTGCATAGCATTTGGTTTAGCATTTGACAGTGTGCAAGAATGTTTAGATTTTACTCTCTTACAAGGTGAAGTTTCTCATCAAGAATTAAAGAACAGTTCTGGCTGGTTTGGCTCAGTGGATTGAGCTCTGGCCTGCAAAACAAAGGGTCACCAGCTTAATTCCCAGTCAGGACACACGTCTGGCTTGCAGGCCAGCTATGTGAGAGGCAACTGCACGTTGATGCTTCTCTCCCTCTGTCTCCCTCTCTTTCCTCTTCCTAAAAATAAATTAATTAAAAGAATTATAGGAACAAATAAGATTTTAAAAACTATAAGCAAGTAGTTCCTAAATTTGAGCTTTCCTAAAATGAGGTTTTTGCAGATTCATTCAAGTATGTAACATGTGCATTTACAATTAAGTTTCTTAAAATTCTGTATGCTAAATTCTTACTAATTTTCTCCCCCTTTATTGGTTTCACCAAAGTGGTTAATCATATATATTATGTTAAGTGTATGTCACCCACATCAACTAAGTTATTTGTGGAAGTTTTTTCAGAGGGAGAAATCACACAGTTAAATAGAATACTACATGTATGCAGATATCAAAGTTGCTTTCTA